TTTCATGTAATTCATGTTTCCTAAACAAAAGTTTTGTTAATATACAAATTGATTCAGCTTTAATTTAGGTAATTGATTGTTTAGTTTGGATGCAACATGATCCTTAATTCCTCATTAAATTGATCAGATTTATTTCACTGTTTACTGTAAGTAGTGTTTCAATAAATGAGGATTTATAGAAAAAAATAGATTTACCTAAACTCATTTGTTATTCCAGTATTGATGTTGAAGAATTAATAACTGTCTTATGGAGATACCTAGTGTGAAAAAAAAAGTCGAAAAAATATCAGTTTACTTTAAAGTCAACCGCTTAACACTCCACCTAATAGCGATGAGTTTGATCAATCAATAAGCTAAAATTAGATTTTGTGAAAGATAAACAGAGATATATTATAGTGTTTAGTAATAAAACTAGGGAAAAGTTTGAAAATATTTATAAAATTATAATATCCAAAAAACGAACTACAGGGTTGGCCTACTTATGTAACTAGTCTGAAGATATATGCATGTAAGACACAAATATAGAATTAATATATATGAGTGTAAATAAATATAAAAATAAAAAAATTAGATAATTATAAGAAATTATTGATTGTTTAATTTATTTACCACAAATCTTAGTGTTTTATTTTAATAAATTAAAAGTGTTCTAATATGATGTCACCCATTTGATTAACATTGTCTTGTTTTAAAACACTTCAGACGTTTAAAAAACAAAACAACGTTTATCAAATGGGTGACACCATAATAAAACACTTTTAATGTATTAAAATAAAACAGTAATATTTGCAGTGTTAACACCTAACGATATTAAGAATTAGTTTTAGTAGCTAAATATGACCTCTAGTAGTTAGACGGTCAAAGTTATTCTAAAAGATATAATGTCTGTATGACGAACAAAGTTTTTTGATAGATATGACTTTTACAAGACAAATGATCAGAATTATTTGATGGATATTTTGTTGTCATGTTCAATAGCATAATCTTAATCAGTTATAAAGTAAGTGGAAAATCTTTTCGTACAGAGTTTTAGTATATTCTGATGAGTATGACCAATCACTATCTCATGTAGGGAATAATAACAGTCTTAGGACTAACACAAACTGGAACCAATGCTCATGAACATCAGTCCAAGCTTGATGATCCAATATTATAACTACTCTAATTATTTTTGATCAGAGTAAATCAGAAAAAAAATCCTTACAGTGACAGTTTTTGTGCCTTCACTTACAGTGTATTTAGTCAACTCACCAGGTAATAACTGATAAATATTTGATTAAATATTCCAAGATGTAATGTTAGATTGTTTGTTATTATGAGCCAATTTGGATGACTCAGTTGCAATAATATCAAAGATGTTGTTTATGAAGGTGTTTATGATGCTTAATAGATTTACTAGAGATTCCGATATCACGATAAAGTTGCTTGAAAACCTTATAAATGTAAATACGTACTCGATATCCACTTACATGAGACCTTTGATGTGATATTTTCATTAATTATCATAAATAGAAAGACTATCAGAGCTTTGGGACACAATTCAAAACTCAATAGATATTGCATAATCATCACAGAGTTAGAAATGGTGTCCTAGAACTCATATAATTGATCTATTTGTGATAATTGATGAAAATATCACATCAAGGGTTTTCATAATGCTAAAGAAATTCGTTATTTAAATCTGCTTATTTACAATAAATTGCTTCCCTATATTTTTTCGTTTGATAAATGAGACTTACTTTGGTTTCACGGTTTGTGCTTTCTATTTCCGTTCGATACTTGTAACAGATTCAACTTACTGTTCCTTTCATGCTTCTGCAATTCTTTAAAGCATTCTAATATAGATATGTATATATATTGTAGGTTTATACAATTGTGCATCCAATGTCAGAAGTTGATTATCAATATAAATTGGAAATAGAAATACCGATTGAATTCACGAAATTTCTTATTGAATAATAATATAATATTAAAACAGATTATATATTTTATAATATACTTCTGAATGATAGTGATTAACAGTGAGTATACTTTAAATTTTGTCAACCGGTATGCTGTGATAAATGAAATGGAACCTTTAAACATCAATGATGTGTTAAATTACCTTTTGTTTATTGAGAATAAAGTGTAAAAATAATCGCCAGCTGACGAGCATTCATAGCTTTTGAATTGGCAATTATCTTTAATTTTTTTTTTTTGTACTCAATGATATGAACGTTCACAGCTGCAATAAATGGTTTTTATCTACAATTTTTTTCTAACCGCTCCTATTTGAAGAATATTAATAGTTTTCTATCGAAAACATATCAGAATGAAAGTGGAAAATGTAAGCTTTTTTCCATCATATGATTGTCAATAATTTATAATTGTGATGAAAAACATTTTATATTTGATTATTCAAAATCACTTCTTCAATATTTTTTTAAATCAAAAATACTGATTTTAATCATGTGGTATAATAAATAAATTATAAGGATCAATTTTCAAAACTATATTGACGGTAAAATGATTGAATAACATATTTTTACATTATCATAAAATGAATTTTATTTATATATTTATCTATCATTGAATACCTAAAAAAATTAATTTATTAATTATAATATTTGGTTTCAGCAATGAATTTTATGATTTTTCAATTTTTCAGAGTTTAAAAAATTGGCTTGGATCTTCATCAATTATTATTATTAATCTTTTTTACAAAATTATAGATTATACAGTCAATCGATTGATTAATTAGATAGTGTGATGAATTAACTGAATAAAATTAAAATGAATAAATTGGTTGAATTTGAATTTAGATGTACTCATTAATCCTAGATAATTATTGAGCACACAGAATGGCAATTAGAAAAGTCAGGAGCTACTAAATCACAAAACAGTGAAAATGATTTGCTCGTTCAATGTGTAAAGTCTAGACCAGAGCTGGGCAACTTTAACTTTTTGAAAGCTCTTTGTTTACTTGTGTCAACTATACAATAAAATAATTTTTAACTTTTTATCAGAAAGTTATTGTGATGCGATTTGAACTATTCGAAAGCATACTGATAGATTCTGAACAGGATGTATGAACGTGTGATGGAGATGTCAACTCTATTTCAATACTATTCGAAAGATAATTTGAAGTTTGAACAGATTCAGCAAAGTCATTTTTCTTTTTATACTAAAGAAACAAAACAATAAATCAAATAAAGACTGCTTTCTAGCACATTATTCAACTCAATATCTCTATGTTGATGGAATAGAAAGAGTATTTCTCTATTTAAAAAAATGAAGAACAAATTTTTCATTTGAATAATGATTAAAATTGATTGAATTATGATTAAAAATTTTGCTTTTTGATAATTGTCTAATATTCACAACAATGATAATTTATTATGAACAATTCAAATAGTTTTACAAATTGAACAATGAATGTTATTAATGATTTCAATCAATATTAATTAAATATTGTCGTCAATGACTATATATTTCTTTCAATCATTGCATATTGTCTATAACAATGATAGTTGGAATAAACAAATAATAATAGTTATTCTTTTATCGTCAGTGAAAATGCTCTAATGACTAATTCATCTTTGGGAAACTCTACAGTGAGTTTAAACCCATTTTTAAATTTATTAAAATATTGATTCCTCGTGTACACATTCTAAATTTGATAGAATCGCTAAACTGAGTATTGATTTACGAACTAAAAAAAAATAATCAATCAATTATAGTAAAACGAATCTCAAAATTCGACCGTAAAATATTTAAAACTAAATAGTACTTTATTTGCTATTTTTAAACTTTTGAATCTTTGAAATAAAGAAAAAAAAAAATTTACCCACTCGATCTTTTTTCCAGTCGTTTGAAGTGTTTTCAAACGAAAAAAGGTAAAAAACCTCAACGATTCAGCCATTTATTAAAGTGGCAACAAGTTAAAAAAAAATACTTAATTTTTTAAACAGATTTAAAATGGAAAATGTGACATGAAAATTTTGGTGATCAGAGTTGGAGGGGAAATATTTCAAAGTGAATACTTTTAGCTTACTACACTGAGAAAAGAGTTTGACTGAGCCAAATATATATATTTATTTGCAATATTTTTTCGAGTATTTAGTAGTTATTAACAAATTTAGTAAATCTTATAAAATGGCAGAATTACATTCCATAAGGTGAATACTTGAAACAAAAAGAACATTTATTTGTGGTACTTATTCAGCACAAATAAATCTTATTTTCCAGAAAATTGTGAAAAGTTTGAAATATCAGAGCAAATTACATTTCATCGAAGTAAATTAATCAGGAAATAAAATAATTAGTATTATTTCAGATAAATAAAATTATTTACTTTGAAATGTATGAAAGAGTTATAATTACAAAATAGACATATTTTTTTCAATGTGGATTTATTAATAGTTAACAAGCCAAATTTGTCAATGATTAATTAAAGTTATTCTTAGCAGTAAATTATATTTAGTGGTAAGATTGAAATCTTTAGACTGAATATAACATCTGCTAATCGTTAAATAAATAAAAAATTGTGTGAATCAAATTTTTGCAAGTTATCAAATAAAGATGTAGAAGTAGGTGTAGAATAAACTATTTTGATGTAAGTACACAAGTATTTACTGTTAATAAATTAAATTTTGCTGCGCTAAAAAAAGGGTATTGGAGATCTTCGATGTTTGTATATTTCTCCCACTTATACATATAAATATATGTATATGCAATTTTTTTCCGAGCTGTATTAGAACTAAAACCTACGCTTTATTTACAATTCATTGCTCTATAAATCAAAACATTGTTTGATGCTTTGGACACGATATAATTAATGGTTACAATCGGATATTACTTTAGTAGAATTTATTAATTCTTTCGTCGAAATGTACCATTATTTTTGAAAAATATCATTTGTTTAGAATAAACAAATACGATTTTAGATAAGCGAATGTATAATTGCTAAAGTACATACATAAACCAAGAATCCGTGTGCTATTCGATTATAGTAAAAAAGATTTCAGCTAACTTGTGTGTATTTCATGTATGAATAGTAAACAAATCGAGTTCCTAAGAATTAGCTGGTCAGAGAAACGCGTCTTTGTTGACCAAACGGCCAACACTTGAGCGAATGCAGTCGGTGTTTGACACAGTATCGATAGTATTCTCTCAAACATCCATTTATTAACAGTTACCAAATCAAGTTTGAAGAAAACAAAAGACGTGTTTAAGTTTCGTACGTTGTCGTTCACATCATTTCTTTTGTGAACGTGAAACGATAAAGACGTGTTGACTTTGTGTAATGGAAGAATTTTTGATTCAATCAGAACTTACTCATCTACAATCAGTTCTAGAAGGTACGTAAATTATATTAAACATGATAATTAGTTTTATATTTATATATAATAAATACATACATATAATAACTCTAAAGCTAATTATTTCACTGCATTCTCTATCAATCTGTGTTGTAGTAAAAAAAAATAGATATCGTAGCATCATTGGATTCTTTTTGTTTTTTTTGAGTTTATGTAGGAAATTTATTCATTTAATTTGATGTATTATATATATCTAATCCCAATTTTTATTTTTTTTTATCCACTAACACCATTAACTCGGTGTATATTCTCAGAAAATGGCATTAATGATTTAGAAATTCTGGGCGAGCTTATTGCTCATCCAGATGATATGAAGGCGGTTATAACAAATGTGGGAGCACGATTGAAGCTAGAAAAGAAATATCAACAATACGTATGTGACATTTTCTTTGATTTCAATTCATTACATCATAAAATATTTATTCTTTTAATTATTAATATTCCATTTTGCATTCCCATTTCTCTATTGTAACTAAAGTATGTCTCATTTTCTTCACTCATGTTGCTTTTTTTGTACTGTAGAAAGGTTTATCGATCACAAAAAAGATTTGTTAATAATTAACACATCATATTTCACATAAAAATGATCTGTTCACTGAAAATATGATGTGTTTGTTATGAATAAATATTTATTCTGTAAGTTTATATCAAGCATCTGTAGTGATATAATTTTTCTTTCCATTAATTTAGGTACAAGTAAATAAGGATATCCTCGAATTAAATCTTCCAGTGACTTCAGGTGGTGGATTAGTAAATCCTTTACCACTTCAATTGATTGAACAATTCATTAATATACCACCCGAAACATCTGAAAGTAATTCAGTGGCTCCTGTCTTATGTGCAAGTGATCCAGCTGCTCTTTTGCAAAACAGAGCTGAATCGCCTCCTAAAAGGCAATTATTGAGTCATCGAAATTTGAGTTTTCTGTGGAATCAACATTGGAGGGACATCCAATTGGAGTAGCTCTTTTGAAGATTGGAAAGTTCAACAAAAAACTGACGACTCAATATCAATCGATGATAGTTGACATTATTGTTTGTGAGCTTTTACGTATTCCACGGTATGTAACAAATTATTATGTGTATATTTCTTTATTTCACTATCAAATTATTCATTAATAGTTAACTCACTTTATAGACACGTTACAAATGATGATCTTAGTGAAGTTGCTCAACAAATAGTGCTGTTATTTGAAAAAGAGTGTGTCGAAACATTCTATATACCACCCGTGAAAAAAAGAGATTCAAGATCAAATTTATCAGAAGTTTCAAAAGGAAAGCTGCCAGATAAACTTCGTAATTTGAGAACAATAATTCGTGAAGCAGCTCGTATTGGAAAAGAAGTAACGATATATACAGAGAAAGAGAATCACGACCAAAAAGGTATCTATAATTTCTTCTGATTTGCATTTGTGATAATATTGATTATAATTGTTCTTCGAATTTTATTGAAATTTTTAAATATAGTTAGAGCTCTGACACCCAATAATTTATTTTTAAAGTATTAAATAAAAAAAGGTATAATTTAAAATTTGAATGCACATTATAACTGGAATCAAATATTATTTTTCAAAATCATAATTAGAATTATTCATGTATAATTATAATTTCTTTTATTATGATGAAATTAAAATTATGAATAACTACATTTTAAAATAGCAAAGATAAACACATGAATAGATTCAAAAAACCCATACAATTAAATACTTAATTATTTTTTATTTGTAAGAGAAAATTTTGATTTATTTATCAGAAATAGCAACAGCAGAAGAAAGCAAAATTTGGCTTGTGCATAACAGAGAATCGACTGAAGTATTAAACCATTGGAATTCATCGTACATTCTGCGTGAAATAGATTTAGATGAGAAGAACTATGCTAGCATTGAAGACGTGTTAAACAATTGGCCAATTTTAAAAGAATCAAAAAGCTTTGAGCTGGTATAATTGATTTCAAGTGATTTTTAATATTATGTTTTATTCTTACATAGTTGCATGAGTTTTTGTTTTTTTAGATTGAGAAAGACTTTGATAGAAAGTTTCCTAATGCTGGTAACACTTTCATCCTAGAATGGGATAAGTTTTTTGGAAATCTATTGAATTTATATGGACAAAAAATTACAGACCAGGATTCTATATACGTAAAACTCTTAGATAACAAGGACAGCCAACTTCGAGCAGGTACATATATTTAACTTATAAATTAACAATAGATTATCTCATTTTATAAACTAATTTTGTGAACCTTGTTATATAGACAGTAAAACTGCTATACAGTTCTATCTATTAGCGAGTTTAATGGCTCCAAAGTCTAATAAAACAGGGGTTAAGAAAAAAGAAAAAACAACGAATAATGAACGATTAGGTTTTTGGAAACCGAGTATTGCTGAATCGCGTGAAGGCTTCATTCTTCACGTACAGGTATAATCTTCGTTGTTTTTTTATTAATACTTTATTAATATTTTTGAAGAGTAGTAAATAAATATGCATGATATCTGTATAAAGATAGTTTATGACATGATAATAATTTTTTCAATGGTCTACAGATTCCCGGAGACATAGAGACTCGGATATATTCTAAACAAAAAGCATTGATTCAAAAAGGATTGCATCTGCAGCCATTAGTGATTGCTATAGGAGAAGATTTGACGAATATTACTAAGTCGTATGTAAGATTTGAATCAGTTACATATGAACTGCCATCACTTTTAAAAGCTATTGATGTTCTGTTCAAAATATATTTAGTTTTTAATTTAGCTTACCCGTTAGAATGCGAGAATTTCTGTTACTTGATACAGTGGGGAGTCTATCAAATTAAAACTAAATCGGACACGAAAATTCCGTTGGTATTTAATACATTAAATAAGTTAAAGCCCAAAGATAAATAACACTTTGTTATAGTTACTTCGCTATTATTAGATGTTTACTCAATATTTTTATACATGAATTGCTTAATTTTTTCCTTTAAGTTCATACAAAAATTTTTAATTTTATCAAAGAAAACTTTTTGAATAGATTCATTATCATGTAATCTTAATCTCAACGATAGAAAGTATTAAAGTAAATTATAGAAGTTTGATCAAAATAAAAAATTGATAAGTCAACTAATATTGAGATACTCAATTGATTGACATACTATATTGATTTATATTTTTCATCACATCATTACTATAATTTTTTATTTACTTAATTGAATTAAAACTTAGTGTGGTTTAATTACAAAATGTATTGCAGTATATGCAACGAATTTTCCTCTCCGTGCAGTTTACAAGTATTGCGTCATATGCAACTTTTTCACTCTCATAATACTGTTTATCCGTGTATCAATAATTGTAACAGGACATTTGCATCAATACCAACTCTGAAGAAACATATTAAAATTTGCTTAGTAGCTGCTAATGATTTGGTAACACAAAATAATACACTATTAAAATCAGAAGTCAAGTTTGATTCTACTTTAAATAATACAGATCATAATGACCACACGGAAAGTTCTGAAGATCAGAGTAGTATTGGTACAATTGTCGATGATAAATGTATTGAGCGAAAATTTTTACAATTTATTGGCTATTTGTATAATAAGCCATCATTATCGAGATTGATTGTCCAGGATATTGTAGAAAATTTTAGTGAGTTGACACACGGTATAATTTCCATTTTTAAACATAATTTGAAAACTGCAATTCCTTCTGATTATCACGATTTGATTACAAATATTTTACAAATTAATCCATGTAGCAATTTCGACAGTGAATACAAACGATTCAAATATTTTAAAGGTCAAAATTTACTTATAACTCCTGTACCTTTCAAAATAGGAGAAATTAAAGATGATAAAAAAATGAAAGGTACTGTAGTTTTAACAAATAAACAATGTTTTGCTCAAGTAGTACCAATGCGGATTGTACTGCGTCAATTTTTCGAATTACCCAATGTCTACGAAAGAATAATTAGTTATATTAAAGATGAGTCTTCCCGTAATTATTTACCAAAATTATACACCAGTTTATTTCAAGGAAAAATCTGGGAAAATATTTCAAATTCTTATGGTAAAAAAGTTGTGATACCTCTTTACCTTTACGATGATGATTTTGAAATATCTAATACACTTTCAAGTGCGGCTGGAATATATAAAATCGGTGCATTCTATTTTTCCATAGCTTCAATGCCCCCAGAATATTCTTCTTCGATTGATTCCGTTTTTTTAGCTGAATTTATCCATACTATGGATTTAAAAGAGTTCGGAAATGAAAAATGTTGTCGAGCTATTGTTGATGAATTAAAATTCTTGGCAGAAGAAGGGATTTGGGTAGATGTAAATGGCATTAATAAACAAATTTTTTTCGTCCTGATTGGTGTATTAGGTGATAATTTGGGCATGAATGGCATATTAGGGTTTTCAGAAAGTTTTATAGCTGAATATTTTTGTCGATGTTGTAGAAGTACAAACAATGAATGTAGTAAGCAGCTTGTAGAAAATAAAGGATCACTTCGAAATATTCATAATTATGAAGATGATACAAGAAGTTTATCAACAGGCGTAAAGGAAAAATGTATTTTTAATGTAATTCCGCATTATCATTGTACGATAAATATTACTTGGGATTTGATGCATGATTTATATTTAGGCATTTGTCGTTATGACATGGCTAAAATCATAGATCACTGTATTAAAAAAAACTATTTTAGCTTAGAACATCTAAATAACCGTTTGAAATATTTTGATTATTCGGAAATTGATCGTGGTAAGAAAATATCGTTTATTTCAGCACACCACATTCATAAGGGTAATATAATTATTACAGCTTCAGAAATGTCAGCTTTAATTTCTTATTTTGGAATAATCGTTGGTGATTTAGTTCCAGTTGATGATGATGCATGGGAGTTATATAATACCCTTTATGAAATTATTGACATTGTAACCAGTTCATCAATATCAGAATACCAAGTAATTCATTTGGAACAGTTAATACGAAATCACAACGAACTTTTCATAAACTTATTTGGGCCTTTAGTTCCAAAAAGTCACTTTTTAACTCATTACCCATCATGTATAAAAAATATGGGACCAATAAAGAATCTATCTGGCTCTAAATTTGAATCGTTTCATCAATTGTCGAAAAAAATGCTCATGTTGTCAACTCAAGGATTAATATTACGTATACTCTGGCATTAAAAATGCAATTACAAGTATGTTATAGAATTTTAAGTCAGAAAGGACTTGAGCCAAAAATTGAATACGGTCAGGTGTTAGAAATTTCTGATAATTATGAATCAACATTTTCATCACATATAGGTGCAGAAGCTTGTACAGTTTCGTGGGTAAAAATCAACGGAACAATATATAAACCTGACTTTGGTATATACGTAAAAAATGATGATTTTAATGATCCAATGTTTGGTATAATTATAAGTATTATTATGAGTAAAGACTGTACGATTTTCTTAGTTTATAAAGAATGCTACACTATTGGTTTTAATAATCATCAAAAGGGATATGAAATTGTAACGCCAAATATTCATGTTAAAACTAAATTATTTAATATAAATAATAATTTTTATGTAAGGCCTGTAAAAATTCATGTTACAGCAAACGGTAAAAAAATTATAAGTCGCAGAGATTTACAATAAAGAGTTATTTTATCTATAATTTTGTTGTTCAATAATTTATTCTGTATTAATATTTATATCCTGTAAATTACCAAGAAAAAAATTGAATTAATGCTTAATTTACTACGAATTGCTAAAATATGTTTTTAACAAAAATTGAAAATTGATTCAAATACAAAGTAATTTATTTGAAATATCGTGCAGGTTTCGTTTGTCTCCTGACAAAATTGATTCTAACGAGCATACTTTTATATTAAATATTGATTTATTTTTACCATCATAATATCTGATGTTATCAAAGAATACGTTTCTTTATTGTTAACACACCGACTTTCCAACCATCTGCACATTATTTCGAAAAGTAAAAAAATCTATTCTATGTAACCATGTAATAGATTGCTTTAGCTTCTGTATTTATTCAATGAATTATTTTTATAATATATAGAAATATTGTTTTATTTGAGATGACTCTTGCAATTTTTTTTTACAAAGATTTATTTTATTCGCCCAAACTTATGTAATTCTTTTTTAAATTAATGCTCGTTTTGCCTAATTGACTATAATGTTGAATTAATCTGATTTTAATTTAATACAATGCAACGATTTGTTCGTTGTTAACAAATGAAAGTTTGATGCAAATCAAATCATCAAATATGGGAGTTGTTAATAATAACTAAATATTTATTTCGCCATTATCAACTATATCATTTTTTAACTACAAACAAATCTTATTTATTATAAATAATCTCTTTTCTCAGTGTAATGACACCTGAGTGATTGTTATGCGGTCATTTGTTCATGAGTTATAAGCGTTGGAATTTAAAAGTAGCTTTTTTGCTCTCCACAGGTGGCAACTCGATAGAAAAAAGTCTAATGCGTTCATAAAAAAACACGATTTTAAAAAGAAAGTGTCAGCTTTAAAATAGGATAGTCAGATTTGAAAGATTTATTTAATTGTACTGAAGATTTTGAATTTTCATTTTAAATCTGACAGTCAACGACATAAAAAAGATGTTAAAAAATTCATTCAAGTTAAAAGATTATGTAACAAGTATACAAATAATAATTTTAAAAAGTAATCGTGTTGATAAATTTATTTCAGAGTTACCAGAATTAAATACAAAAATGGGGCTGACTCTGTTTAATGTTGGAATTTTAAGGAATAAAGGAAATTTTATCTTTTCATAATAAAATGATAGCCTCTAACAATATTTATTTTTCATACGTGCGTAGATTAAATTATCTTTTAGTTAGTCTTTCACCTTGATCCATTTTTTCACCTTGTAATCAACTGTCCCTAGAGTTCATTTCATTTGCCACGTGGGTAAGAAGTGCGGAAACCAATCAAACGCTCCATTTATCCTCCGGCTATGTACTTTTTATACTACTCCTCTTATTTCTTATTGCCAAAGAAGAGCTTAAGGTACAGCTAATATTGAAAGTCTTCAAGATCTTTTAAGATCTTCTAAAAGCTTTACAATTTGCTCAATCCTCTTTTCGAAAGCTTGCGAATTTAGTCAAGACCTTGTCTGATACTGACATTAACAATAGATAGAAATGGAACGGTTTGATCTCCAAATAAACATGATAATTTTTTGTAGTCATTAACACACGTTCACTGAAAAGAATGACTACTTCATTTTTTTCATTGAAAAGAAGCTTAAAGAAGTATGTTCTGTTGGGACAAAATAATTACGTCTTCATGTAGTCTATGTACACTGCAAATCTAAGTGTATTATTCGTGCAGACACTTTTTATACACGGAGAGAATTTTTTCACTAAATGTAAGTGCAAAAATGACAAGTGCACGATTCCAAATTTATAAGTAAAAATATTTCTATTCAACAATGAATTTGAGATTGTCGTAAATAATTTTCCAGTTATTCTAAGTAATTTGTTTTCTGAGACACCTTTTAAGTCTCAAGTTTACTTACAAGAACTCAAAATTTACTATCGAATAAAAATATTTTTACTTATAAATTTCGAATCGTGAACTGGTCACTTTTTGCACTTACATTTAGTGAAAAAATTCTCCCTGTGTACACTAAGTCTCTTCAATGTTAATTTTGTAAACAAACTATCCCGCTACTAAATCTAAAGTTCAGTTTCAACTTAAAAATTTTCAATTCCTTTGATGGTGCAATTACTGCCTATAATTTAATTCCATTTTCGAGGTTCAAAAGAAGTTTTATCAGATACATTTGTAACCTCAACTTTAATCGATCGCGTCATGGGCCTAGAAAATAATTTTTGGGCTTCTTCGAAATTTTGTCCTGTAATGGGCTCGTTTTT